ATCTTTGCTACTTCCTGCTCTACAATATTCACCTCTTCCTTCTTTCCCTCTCATTTTCCTCATTCATCAGTTCCTCAAAATAGTCCTTCCATCTTTTCTGCACCCTCACTTGTTAGCACCTATCTATCTCTGTTTTTAATCGCCCTTATCTGTTGCACATCCTTCCCATCTCTATCTCTCTGTCTCGCTAATCTGTACAAGTCCTTCTCACCTTCCCTCATGTCTAACCTGGCATACAACTCATCATATGCTTTCTGTTTGGCCATTGCCACCTCCCTCTTCACTCTACGCTGCAATTTCTTGTAATCCTGTCTACTGTCTTCAGTCCTTTCTACGTCCCACTTCTTTTTAGCTAGCCTCTTCCTCTGAATGCTGTCCTGTACTTCCTCGTTCCACCACCATGTTTCCTTATCTTCTTTCCTCCTTCCAGATGACACACCTAGCACCTTCCTACCTGTCTCCCTGATCACTTCTGCTGTAGTTTCCCAGTCATCTGGAAGTTCTTCCTGACCACCCAAAGCCCGTCTCAACTTCTGTCTGAATTCCTCACGACATTCTTTCTTTTGCAACTTCCACCACTTGGTCCTCTTTTCTGTCTTTCCTCTCCTCTTCTTCCTGACCACCAGAGTCATCCTACACACCACCATCCAATGCTGTCTGGCTACACTTTCTCCTACCACCACTTTGCAGTCACTAATCTCTCTCAGATTAGGTCAGCAGCACTGGTGGTGGTTGTTGTTAACCCGGGCCTCAACCGATCCGGTATGGAATTCACACTGATGATTCGCAGTTTTAAATTTGGCATGTTTATACGCCAGATGCCCTTCCTGACGCAACCCTCTATTTATCCGGGCTTGGGACTGGCACAGAAGTCACTGGCTTGCAACCCCTATGGCTAGATTAAAACGGTAATAAATAATAATAGTCATTTAATGAGAACTAAACCTTTCCTGACCCAAGAAGATTGGTCTTGGGTTAAAATCTGATTCCTCAAAACCAAGTGGACCCTTTAAAACCTCTAATGTACAAAGTACTAACATGACAAATGAGGTTAGGTTCAGCTTAGAGTGCATCTCAAAGGCCTCTTGAGCAATCACTTGTATTTGATTTCTGCTCACTTTTGAAACTTCAAGCTTTCACAGTAAAAAAAATACATTTATGCTCAGCCACAGAGGAAGATTAGAGCGCTGGCGCAGCTGTCCGATGCCTCGGCTCAGGTACACACTTCAGAACCTTGTCCCAGTTACTTGGAGGAGGCAAATCGACTGTGTTTGGGAGCTTTGTCCAGCTATCCACACAATGCAAAGTTGACTAATTGGTCCTTCAATGTGGCCAGGGAGCCACTGGCGTTCACATTACACTGCACCCTTGCATTGCTCACTGCTTCCCAGTGTGGCAGGAGTGATCAGATCCCAGCACGTTTTCAGTGCATTTTGGGTGCATTCACACCTGTGCTTTGAAGAAACAAGACAATTCAAGAACAATGCTTTCACTTAAAGAGAAAAGCTTGGCCAATTCCTGATTATTTACCCAACTGAAATATTTCCACCCATTCCTCTGGCCATCATCCACTTGACAAATGAATCCAAACCCAGCCGCATGAAGTGCTTTGACACAAAAGCCAAAAGCATACATTTTAACTTTCCCTTTTTTCTCTCCTCTAGCCATGAATGAAAGGAAGAATTTCAGGGCTCCTTTTTTAATTGACCTCCCCAAAATTCTACCCCCACCACCACCCCAAA